TGGGGGTCTCGTGCGCGGGGTTTAGGCGCGTATGGGGGAAGATCTTAAAAAGGGAGGATGACACACAGGGCAGGAACATATATCCGAAGTTTCAGCCCCCCCAGCTTTCCTGGTTGCCGAGTTGAAAATGGGTGACAAGATGCACTTGCTTTGCGAACACACACACACAGCCTCTCGACAATATGCGCTTTTGCTGGCTGTAGCAGCGCTATAGCACTATAACGCTGCACAGCAAAAACGCATAAAAAAATGGCTATTTGTAATTGAAGTGATAACGATTACAGTAACAGTTAACAGCCGGTGAAAAAAAGGCCACAGATTGTTTCTTCCTCCTCTGAAATTACACAAAGAAAACTTAAAAGTCGCTCAAAGATGTGATCAATGGTAATGCCACACCAGAAGTAAAAAAAAATTGACGAAAAACAGAAAGTACAAAACAAAGAACAGAAAGGGAGACACCACCGCTTCATCTTGAAAACCGGAAACTTCAATAAAGTGCTTCAGTAACCGGAAACATCAGTAAAGCACTGTCTGTTCGATGTGTCCCATCCCTTCAGAAGCTGTTCGAGCTGCTTTTGTTGCTTCTCCGATACCACATATTGATACATTATGCTCAGTTATTGAATTTGATAGATGGACTAAGTAGAGAGCGAGACAGGCCACTTGTTTCGTCCACTGAATTTAACCTTCTCGCGTATGCTCAGTGCAATTCTGCACAAAAGAAGAGACACTCCAAGAATCTACTATTTAAGAATAAAAGAAAAATGTATGATCATGGAAAAATATAAGAAAGGATTATAGAAAAGATAAAAAAGGAAGGATGTGAAAAAGAAGTATTGTATTAGGCAAGAAATGTTTCGGTCCATTAAGCCCCTTCATGGACAATCATTAAAAGTGTGCAGCTGAGGGAAAAACTGCCTGGCATAGATGCGCCCATTTACATCTACAAAATGGGACACCTAAACCAGGCAGGTAGTAATCTCCGTAAGAACACAATGGTGTAATGACAAGCTAAACAAAGGAAACTTTGACTACAACAGCCCAAAAAGAACCCAATTCTCTATGACTCAATTCACTCGGTTTGATGGACAGTTACTACTGACAAAAGAGACGGAAGGGTGGAGTGGATGGGGGGGAGGGGGGGGGGAAGGGGGGAAGGACGGGAGCTGCTGCCAATCAAAACTGTCTCCTGACATACGCTGCCGCTTGAATTATTTCGAGCGTTCTCGCTTCTCGCGCAAAGTGACCTGACGAAATTTCGGCTCGGATTTGTATTAAGCAATACCTGAATATGTGCGCTAAATACATGATCCACGAGTGCCTTCTGACTGGTAAATTTCCTTTTGCATCCTTTCCATTCACATCGCAAATTCTCCAGTGTTTCAATATCAACGATTTCTGACGAATTACCATCTGTTACAACCTGAGGCGCAGTGTTGTTTCTTTGATTCATTTTCTGTGATAATCCATGTCTATTGCTCCGAGTCCTAAAATACCATTCTTTGCCAATTATGAAAAAATTGCATACGTTGATTTGAAAAAAAAAAAAAAATAGTTAACTATAGTTCACAACTAAAAGATATATTATACATAAAATTAATGAAGGATTGGCTTTCAAAAAGCTCCCCTATCGCAATTCTCATGAGCGGCAGATTCATGCAAATTAGCAATTTGTTCGCCATGAAAACTGAGGGGCGTAAAACTGAGGCAAGACGAGGGCGTATAACTGGTCCGTCGCGGATTCAAGAGGGCGAAAACCCATGCCTACCTTGTTCTAATTTGAGCTGCGAGCGCCAAACGGATTTGTAAATTCTTTGTGCGAATTTAATTAAAAGTTTACGAAAAGCAGCAACGACTGGGAAACAGACGTCAAACACAATCAACAGTCACAGTAGGACGATGAAAAAGTACTATAACCGACAAAAAAAGATATCCCAATCTTTTTCAAATCCAAACACACAGCCGCTTTGCCATAAGAAAATAATTGGCCAACGCACCGACTGCCGGTGCGAAGATGCATTTTTTGCACAGTTCCCCGCAGTTTTTGTCACTACCGGCACCGGTTTTCCCGGCAAATGCTTCTAGCTAAAAGAATTGAGACTGGCCGCCAGGACTGTCAGGAAGCATCTGTTTAAAATTTCAGCTTTCTAACATTCTTGGTTCCCGAGTTAGTAACTTACCCGCAAGAAACTTTCACAGGCCCGTAAATAAAAACCATGCATACCTGAGGGCTGGGTTTGAACTCATTAATATCTATTTGGACGGGGAACATCCCCTTAAAATTCCAGCCTTCCGGCTTCTCAGGTTCCCAAGTTAACAACTTACCCCAAAAAACTTTCACGGGCCTGTACGTCGGTAACACGCATATCCGACGGCCGAGTTTGAACTCACTAATACCCACTTGGACGGGGACACCCCGTTGAAGTTCCAGCCTTCCAGCTTTTCATGTTCTTGAGTTAGCAACTTACCCGAAAAAAACATTGGCAGGCGCGTACGTGGTACCACACCTAACCGGGGACTGGTTTGAAGCCCATCAAGACTTACGTGGGCGGGGAACGTCGCCTTAAAATTACAGCTTTTTAGCCTTTCTGGTTTCCGAGTTAGCGACTTACCCACAAAAAACTTTTCAACTTTCCGTGAGTGGGTACCACGCGGATACATTTTGGGGATGTGGGCCCGTACTTGCATATATATTAAATTCCCAAAGTTTCAGCCCTGTAGCTTCTGTAGGTCTTAAGATGAAAGATCGGCACAGACATCCGTGCAGACAAAGATACACACACACAGAGAGATAACCCCTCGTCAATATGCGTTTTCTGCATTGCATAGCTGCAAAAAGCGCATAAAAATTGGGAAAAAATGGAACAAAATTTGAAAACTCACCTATCCCTCTGTGTTGCTGAAGATTTTGGGGTTCCTGATGAAGACGGTACTGCATTGTGTGCACTGCTTGCTGTCTTTTTCGGCATTTTCTGCGTTTGATGCACTACTCCACCATAATTCTGGATATGGGTGGTGATAATATGCTCATTTGCTGACGGCTTAACAACTGCCCTGAAACAATTACTTATTACTTATGCCTCATACATTATTCAGGAAACTGGCCGCAAAAAAAGTAACCAAACATGGTTTCCAATGAAATAAGACGTAGACTAAAAATCATTGAATTTCTAAATGGCTAAACCTCTAGAGCAGATATAATGGAAGACAACGACAAATGTTTGAGAGAAAGAAAAAAAATGAGAAATACCAAAATTCAACACCCAAGAAACAATCGGTGTGGGGATCATATTATAAAATATTATTCGGATGTTCTCACACCCAAAGGCAGCTCCGCCAGGTTCCTCAATTCGGAGCTAAATACCCCTTCCAGTTACCTGTCGCTAGGCCAATTTACGTGAACTACCACTTCTGCGACCGCCGAGTGGTCCTTTTACTTTACTGCGGATATTATTCACTAATATATGATGTCAGGGGCATCCGTCCGCAGACTGATCGTGAGCACATTAAAATGAAATAAAAAGTAAATTAAAGCACGAAAATTCACAAAAAGTTTGCGACTTGGTACTCAGTTCAGAATACCCGTATACATTAAATAAAAATAAATTCAAATAATCCAAGAAATAATCTTAACTTATTCACATTTCCTTTTTTATTCCCTTACATCTTACATAAACACATACCAAAATTAAAATTAAAATATTAAACAATTACCTTCGATCTGATAAACTGCTAGCAGAACGCGACAGGTCAGATTCACTTCCCTGTAAAATTCATTCTTCACTTTAACAACACAACAAAAAGTAAATATTTGCAAAAAAATTCCCATATTAGTACCTGTATTTTCTGAAACCTACCAAAAAGACCTTTGCGCAGCAACCTAAAAATACTTGAAAATGGGAGTATCGGTTGCACTGCTCATGCAATAAAAAAGAAATCGAAAATACTATTTCTGTATTTGTACTCCGTCAAATGAGTGGCAGATTTGCTCATGGGAAGAAATGAAAATTCTGGGACGGCTGAGTTATAAACCAAGGAAGAGATATGAAGCTACTCACGCTCCGGCACACCGGGTAACTGGGAATGTAGGTCAATCCTGCACCAGAAATGCCGCAGATGCTAAGGCCCAGTAAAAAAATAACTTGTAACTAAAACCAAGTTACAGTATGCAGAATTTTGAAACAAAATTCGAAAAAACCGGTGCTGGAATGTGTAAAAAGCACGTACCACGTTGCTGGCGGGTTTCGTAGGCCGCTGGTCAATTGTTGGTCGAAAATCACTGATCATAAGTTGCGAGTGAAACAGGCTCGGACTGCAATCGGTCAAAGGAGCCGGCCTGATCAATGTTGACTGCAGCGAGCAGCCCGAAGATGTTGTCACAGATGTTCCACTGCTATCCGAAAATGTATGCAAACTGCTAATTGAGCGCTGATTTTTTCGCTTCCGTTTATAATCACTGCTTAACAGCGATCCCAACGCCAAATCTAGAATATTCACTCATTTTTTTTAATCATTTTTTTTTTTTGTTTAGCTACTCCTCTCCAGAACCCTTCAATTACTTCCCATAAAAGGCAAAGGCACTAGAGGGTAGCCTGGGCAATAAAACTCTGTCAGCATCGCTGCCTGCTGGTAACGCCGTTAGTTCTTCTTTTAAATAAATAGCAACGCGCACCAGACTAGCCGATGCGATCATGCGTTTTGTGCAATTCAGCCCATCG